AAAAAAAAAAAAAAAAAAAAAAAAAAAGGATTGCAAATAATACAGAAGACCAAAATTCCCTGAAACATACGCACTTCATTAAGATTCAGTTAGTAACCGCTCTAGAGCTTAAACTGAGAACACAGAAGGTTAATGCATAAATACTGGGGGTTACTTGTTTTTTGGTGTTGAATATTTGTGCATGCTAACTATGTGTGAATTCTGCAATCTAGCCCAGTAAATATCATTTTTTGGTTTTGTTTTGTTTGTAGCACTGGGGATCAAACTCAGGTCCTGGAGTATCTAGGCAGGTACTCTAGGATTGAGCTATTCCTCCTGGCCCCTAAATAATGTTTTTTCACATCCATATTTTCAAAACACTGCATTTTAAACAGATGAAAAATCTTTAAAAAATATAAATCAACTTTCAAGGAAATTTCCAAGCACATTCATATACATTACTTCTCAAATAGCTTTTAATTAAAACCAAGAGCTATTTTACAAGCACTTTTTTCTGTACTTGGTGAGCAGCATTAACTTAGCCACAATTTTGATCACCAAGATTGCTAGAACTTGAAAAACAGTTTCCTTGATATATAAAATATTAAGAAGCCCAAAAAAATACAGAAAGCAAAAATCAAATATCAAATATGAAACATCAAACCAGTTTTTAAAGGTGAAAACAAAAATCGCATTTTGGTGCGGTGGGTGCGGCTCCCCTTGGTGCAGACAACAGCCACTCACCAACCATGGCGCTAACCTCCCCGGCCATCAGTGTGTCCACCGTCTCGTTGTACAGGTTCACGTCAATGATCCCTTTCCGTATAGTCTCTCCTACTTTGGCTCCCAACAACACAGAGCCGGTGGTTTCAAATATTGAAGCCAAAATGCACGCTTGCCTCAAGGTCACCACGCCAGAGCCCACAGCAGTCCCAAACGAGTTGGCCACATCATTTGCACCAACAGAAAACGCCAAGATGAAAGCTATAATAAAACCCAAAATGACCATCCACAAATATTCTTCCATGGCCATCTTGGAAAATGGGCCCTGGGTGCTTTTCTTTCACAGAATATGTCAAATAAACAAAGCTTGAAGTTATAAGCTTCGTAAGGCCGAAAGTTCTTGTAAACAGCGAGCCTGCTCTGGAAAGTGCTGGACAGTGTTAGCGCCTGAACAAACTGCTAACTGCTGGCTTTCAAACTACTGTCAGGACAGTTCATTTGGTTGTGTTCCGTCAGCAGTAAAACACATTCCATATTTTTTCTCCCAGTCTGGGAAAGCTGTGATTTTTCCTCCTGTAACAAGAAAGAAAACAAAAGAAATCAATTACCCCGAGCAACCTATAACAGTCTGTTCTTTCAGAAATGAATGTTTTAAGCCTGCTAATGGGCTCTTACTTGGGCATGTGACAGATATAACCCTAAAGTAATTCAAGAAGATTATAACTAGGCTAACCCCCCAGTGAAAAACTAAAACCTGAAAAACAAAGCCGGCTTCTAGACTGAGTGAGGTTGAATCATGCTTAAGTTAATAATTACAGACTAACGGTAAGCCTCGTAGGCGAAGTTTTTATGCAATTTGAAAGACATATTGGGCCGCTATTTAGAAAGGAGCGATAGTCTGAAGTGAACGAAAGATCAAGAAATGAGGCGGTAAAGTTCCGTGGTGTTCAAACATGAGGGATCTGCTTCGTTCCTCGGAACACTGCCAGCCGGGTGTGACAGCGAAAGACGTGTGCAAACGAGCACTTCCTGTCAAGAGCGCACCACCCTGTGCCTCCCACACAGTGCAGGAGCTCCAGCACCTGGTCGCTCAGCCAGAGGGTGAAGAAGGTCGAAGGTCAGAAGGGAAGGGCCTCAGAGGACGATGGTGCAGGCTGAAGGAGACAGCAGTCCTGTTGAGGCAGGGACAGGCCTCAGCAGGAGGAAGAGCTGTGGCCTCAGGCCTCGCTGACCCTTGCTAGCCCACGGACCTCGGCTCCTAACCAACTCTCAGCACACACTGTGACCTCGGGGACTCTTGTAACTGAGGGTCCTTCTACCAGAAAAGTCTTCTCGGCAGCTACACTCACTCCTCACTGCATGCAGGTCTCTGCTCAAACGTCACCTCCAGAGGAGGTCTTCCCTGACTTAGGAAAGGGCAGCCCCTTCCCGGGCCAGCCAGCACCCCTCTCGGGCAGCTTTTTCTTCTACTTATCCCCTGGCTCACTCACGGACTCACTCACTCACTCTTGCTGGTCTCTGCTTTCTCACTAGAACACATCTGCTGTCCAATCTCCGCTATGTAGACTACTATGCAGCATGGAGTAAGACCTCATCAGGCTGTTGAGTAAATAAAGAAAAATGCTATTAAACAAAAGGAGAGAAGTCTCACTTATTCTTTCTTCAAGGAAGGAGAGAAGATAGCACAAGATACATTTGTGCTATAATAATGTCACTAAAAACTTTGTTCATAATGCTAACTGAACTAAACTGACAAATTAGGCTCGCCTAAAATGTCACATAGAATACTTTGATCAGGCCACACTATGGTATTTAGGAAAAAGTGGGCCACAAAATTTTACATACATTGTGATTATGGTGATGTTAGTAATGCACATTAAAAAGATCAGAAGGTGTCTGGAGTTGTAGCTCAGTGGTATGGTTCCTGCCTAGCATGTGAAAGACTCTGGGTAAAATGTCCAGCATTGCAAAAACAAGCAAGCAAGCAAACAAAAGCCACCACCAACAGAAATTCAGAACATAATATACTAAAACTGTAACAGAGGTTGAGTCTGAGTGATGTGAATATTTTTCCTTTCCTCTCGAAACTGTATGCTGTTTTTATGGGTTTTTGTTTTGTTTTTTTGTTTTTCTTTGGTACCGGGGATTGAACTCGGGTCCTTGCACTTGTTTTTATGTTTTTAAAATGAAAACAATAAATAACAAACAAGTCAACAGACATTTTGAGTGCCATGTATTATGCAATGTTATAGACATACAATTAAATAGAAACTGTACACTAACAGGCCTTATCACTTTCCAAGGTTTTTAGCCCATGCCATTCTGAAGATTCACATGCCAAGTGAAACAAATAAAAAGACCACTCTAAAGGCAACAGGTAACATTCTACCTAAAGAGGATTTTATTAATATGATGGGCACATTAAATCTATAAATGAAAAGAAGAATAAAAATATTTGGGGCCAATGTTATTTAAAAGTATAAAGCAATTCTTGATGAAATCTTGTTTGCCAGGGTAGGCTGCCAGCAGGGCAAACAGGAACAACATTCGGCAAATGTTTATGAGAAACTTTCTTTGTGCCAGTCACTGGGAATACAATGATGAGTAAAAGTGATGTGGGCTTGGCCTATCTGGGGCTTACACCCAGGGAAGAAAACAGACGGCAATCAGATGACCGCGAAAGCGTGTGGCTCTGCGCTGGTGACAAGTGTTAAAGGCGAGAGACAGTGTCACGAGAACAGAGATTGGGCTAGGACCTCTTCTGAGAGAACAAGACAACCCTCCTTGCAGTCTAAGGCCGGTGGGACTGAACCCTGAGCCAGGGGAGGCATTGCGCTTCGGAAGGGTAAGAGACTGGGGGCCACAAGGGAGGCTGCAACGAAAACCAGGAGCCCAGACAGCTCAGGGCTACCAATGAACAACGTGGCACCAACAAAAGGTCCACTCAGAGAGAGGTGCTGATGCGATCAGACTCAGTCTCCTTAAGAGACCGTCCTGGCTGCAATGAGGAGATGGCTACCAAGAAGGCAAGCATGCATGTAGGGAGGAGACTACGAGCCTCCTTGTAGGCTCAGGCAGGAGATGAGGCCAGAGTGATGACAAAGGAAGATGAAGGGGAAGAAAGGACTTCAGAGGGGTACGCGTCAGTGGTGGAATCCCACACGGAGAGATGACGGTTTATACATGGGGCTGAGAGAGAACAGGATTTATGACATGGACCTAGGAAACTGGAATGAAAAATAACACAGTGGATTTTTTTTTCTCTCCTTTGAGTTGTATGCAGGTTTGATCACAGGCTCTATTCTGGACACATTGCACTTAGTGGTAAATCACAAGGGCGGAAGAGAAGAGCAGCTGGCAGGTGTGTACCAGAGCAGCCGAGCCCTTTGGCCAGCTTTGCCTTGGGAGTTATTAGTCATCTTTATGCTACCTTTGGCACCACTTCCGCCTAGAGATTCCCTCTCCTACTCAGGCAGTCTTTCATGCTTATATCCACAATTGTGTCTGGGCTCTTTAATATGGCTTTTCTACTTTGCATCACCCTAAGCCAGTGACAATGAACCTTTTGGCCCTTTCAGTGATAACTAACAGCCCATTCTGTGCTGTAGGTTCGCCCACCACTGCATCAGCCTAAATGTGAGAAGCGTCAGGCTGAGGAGAAAGGCTTGCCAGATGATTTCTACCTTTTCTCAAATGCACACTGTGTCAAGACCTATCTTTTAATCAACATCTGGCTTCCTCCCTTTTCCATTAATATGTATCAAAATAAGATGCTTAAATAATAACACAATCTGCCACACAACCCCCGGAAAAATGCTGCTGAAATGGAGCCCTTGGCAGGTCAGACAATGCTGTGCACAAGGCCAAAGTGTTAACCTGCCATTAACATAGAAAGGAAAATGCAGGGTGGCTGAAGTCTGCTCAGATCTGACCTATGACAGTGCTGACTGTTTGAAAGCAGGATTTTGAAGAATTATACCTTTAACTGGTGGGGAATTATAGAATCATTTAATAAATGATGTTTAGACAATGCATCAGTAATTGTCTGTAAGGAAAAAAAGTTAGATCCCTACCTCACACCAAAACAAAAATTCAAATGTAAAAAAACAGAACTGAAAAGAGAGAAACAAAAAAGAAAGATGAAACCCAAGAAAATGTCTTCTTAATGTTGGGATGGGGAGCCTAGACATGACATAAAGACAGTTAATGAAGGGAACCAGCACATGGGAGTCCATAAAAATCATGTACATGGGATACAGAGGTCTCGAGTGTGGACAGCGCTTGTGGAAATGCCCTCTCTCTCCCACAGTGAGGACTCTAACAAGGAGGCAGTGCACAGAATGTCCCGCTAATGCCTTAGTCCTTCCAAACTCCCCTACAAGGGCTTTTCTGAGAAATGTCAACATTACTGCATCAAAACACGAAGGAGGGTTAGAACAAGCGTCTTAACTCTTTCTTTCCCCTACTACGAAAACCTCCTAAATATGGCTGGGACTCACAGTAATGAGTGCTACAAGATATCCAAGTTTCCAACGCCACAGGAATCTCAGTTTTCAACTCCTAGAGGTGGCACTGAAGGGTTTTGTAAGTTCCATCCCCAAACCTGTGCTATTATCAAGACTCTGCCTTTCTCTACCAGCACCAGGCAACACTTGCGATTCTGAACCGAAGTCTCACTTTCGGGACTGCCTCTCCTCACCCTGTCCCTTCTCCTCTGCAGCAGACGCATTGCTTCACTGGGGCCAGGTAGGGAACCACAGCCCTTTTGAGTTAACTGCTACAGATGCTCTATTTGTGCTTATGTATTTGTTTGTTCTCATGGTGCTGGGATCAAACATAGGGCCTCCTGCGTGCCAGGCAGATGCTCTGCCCCTGAGCTCGCCCACTCCCACGTTCCCTCTCTATAGCTTCTTCCGTGGGCATCCGCTGCCCCTCTGCCCAGTGTTCCCTCACCACACTAGAAACGTGAGTTTTCAAGTAAAAGTACAAACGTTCTCAGATTGCTTCTAGACATATGTACACACTGTTCAAAAGGGGGGTGCTGCAGAATCGGGGCCCTTGACACATTCATGTGAGGATATTTGGTGGGCGGGGCCTGACTGGCAGTTCTAAAGACCAGCCCTCGGCCAGCTTCCTTTCTGCTATGTTTGCTCCCAGATTTCACAGACTGTACACAAGACACATGGTCCCCTGAGAAAAGGTCCTGCATTCAGAGGGCCTTTTTCTTTTCTTTTTTCTTTTCCTTTGTTTGGTACCGGGGATAGAACTTAGGACTTTGCACTTGTGAGGCAGATGTGGAACCACTGAGCTAAATCCCTGGTCCTTACAGTTTAAAATTTTGAAATGTAATTGCTCACTCATGATAGAATTGAGGCTCATGTTTTCATAACAGTGACAAACACTGAAAGAGCTCTGACACTTGGCATAACCACCCTGAGACAGCACATTCCCAAATACGCAGAGGTTACTCGGACCAAGACAGAAGTGAGGAAGAAAGCAAGGAAGGAGGGGAGGAGAAAGGAGGAGGAGGACAGGAGGGAGGGAGAAAAGTGAAGAAACTTACGCCAGAAGGAAGATAGGACAGTTACGCCAAACGTCAGGTCACATTTGGAGTGCAGGGTCACAGACAAAAGGATAGCACAGAAACAGAAAGGAGGTGAGTGTACTCGATGGGGACACAGAGTGCAAGAATGAAAGTCAAACACATCCAGCGGGAGAGTCAGGCCTGAAAGTGCAAAAGGGACGCAGGCTGTGGCTGTAACTTCTCCTTTTGTCTTTAGGCTGAAAGAGGGATGTCTGTCTGTCCTGCATGGAGAAGGGCGGAGGGTCACAGTCCCGGTCCCTTCCTGTCCCTCCAGCTACTGGGCCACACCACGCTGGGCAAGCCCCCTAACCAGCTGATAAGTGGGGATACTGGTGCATAGCCACTGGCTATGTGCAAACTAGGGGTGGTAACCTTGTGACGACTGTCATTCTGCAAGTGGATGCTGAGGACACATGCACTTTTTAGGGCTACTGTAAGGATCAAACTGAACTATGTAAAAATGTTTTGTAAGTTGCAGTAAACCTCAAGTAACTGGAAGTTATTGGTCTCACCGCCAACAGGCTGACACAGGACTGTGTCACAGACACACAGGAAACATAGCACGGCCCCGAATCCTCCTAGAAGGGTCGTGCTCAGTTCTATCCTCTGCTTCTCTAATGGCCCTGACCATGTACCTGGCCATGCCCCTGACCCTGTTCTTCCTCCGTGTACAGACTGGCTTCGCCTTTGGTTAAGAGGGACACATACTCTGAGGGACAGGCACTGTTTTGAGGAGTGGAGAAAGAAGACGTAGAGATAAGACACACGAAGAGGTGCCAGGAAAGATCACTTCAAATGGTAAAGCCCCACGGGCAGTTTGGCAGTTTCTCATAAAGTGAAGCATACGCTGAGCCCGTCACCTAGCCATCTCATCCTGGGCTGTATTCACCCCAAAGAAATGAACTTTCCATGATAAAAGTAATCTTCCTACTGCAAATATGTACTAATAAAAAACCAAAAACATTTGCTTACACGGGAAGCTTTTTTCTGTATCTTGAGCATGGTGGTAGTTATACTACTGTCCATGGCTATCAAAACTCATGAAACTGTATACTTACAACTGGTAAACTTTATTATATATTTTACCTCAAAAGTGATTAGAAAATAGTGCTAGTAAAAAAACAGGTAAATTCACTTTTGCTGTTTTTCCTTTCCTCTATTGTGAGCACTGCCCTCTTGCCAAGCCCCTATAATTTATACAGGCAAAGAAAGAACTTTGTGAGGATAATGTTATGTGAAATCATTCAGACCCACAAGCTTACATATCACATGGTTTCTCTTATATGAGAAACACAAAGTATAAATAAATTAAAGACCAAAGAAAAGACAGATAATAGCAAATAGGGGAGATAGATACTTTGCAAATGAGAAGGGGACCAAGACATGGAGGAAGGGGTTGGGAGAAGGGGAAGTAAAGAGAATTTCAATGTGCTATATGCATGGACCATCTCATGACGGAGGTAACAAATTACTGCATACTGCAAACATGTATTAAAAAATTAGTTCTCTTATTCAATGAAAAAGGAAACCTCCCACTGAGATACAGTAAGGCAGCCAGTCCAACTGAACAGTATGGGCTCCAAGACAGGTCAGCACACCGTGTTTAAACAGCAGCACTGAGAAGCAAAGAGCAAACACAGGTCAATTAAGGGAGGCAGTGATGTACTACGACAAACACGAAATTCCACAGGAGCAGATTCAGGACGTAACTCTGGACACGAGAGCAAGAGACCTCTGCCTGGTCAAGATACTGACCTTCTCTGAATCAAAGACTTTTCCACAGGGACAAGAAAAGTCAGGCTTCCTTGTGAAGACAAATCTTCAACATGGCTTCCAGAGGGGGAGATCTATTCATCAACATTTCTATTTAGGGAAAACAGAAGCATTAGCTGGAAATCACTCCCAGGGGGAATCAGACTGCAGATATTGAAGCCTGGACTTTTGGACAATTCATATACCACAAACTTCAGGAAGTCAATGAGAGAAAGCCTGAATATGAACACTTGTAAAAAAAGTATCAGCTCAGTCTGCAATGCCAATGTAACTTGAAAATGAGTATACAAGACTATCTATAATTATCTGCAGTGTAATGAAATGTCCTGTAATGTGACCACCCATAAATACAATTAGAAATGATTTAAACAGTTCTAAGAAGCAGTATTTATCTTCACATAGGAAATAGTTCTTGAAAACTTGCCAGGCTAAGTTGCATGCATGGTGAATCCAAAAATTGTTCTAGAATAGGGAATACCCAGGTAGATATGGGTGTTCCCTATGTCATTAATGTCAGAAGTTCAGGAATACAAGCAAGTATTATGAAATGTGACAGATGTACAAAGATTGTAGGGTCATTTTATAATCACACAAAAGAGGAAATCAGCTAAATCTCCTTGGATAGAGGGACTGGCTAAGAAAACACTTGCAACTCCTAAAGATGAAATATTACCTACTCCCTAAAAGGATGCAACTTGAGGTTATTTCATCACATTAGCTTCCTAAAACTCTTCTAAAATCTACAAATGAAAGGACACTTAAAACAATTAGGACCAGACTACTAAATATGCTTCCTGTAGTTTTCTTTAATAAACAATGAGTTTACCATGAATCTATCTGCGTTTTCAGCCTGGGGTTCTCAGGACATTTTTTTCAGGCTTTCTAACTATAATACAAGATGTAAGAGGGATCTAATACTCCTGCCTGTCTGTTTTTCACTTGTAAGAATGTCCTGTTCTGGAAGCAGAGTATGTTGCCACACAGTCTCCACCTGGCTCTGTGTCTTTTACAATGCAGTGCACAGCCTCCCTGAGGCCTACACCCAGGCACAATGGACCTGATCCCCGGACCCTTCCTCCTCTTCCCTTTGTTCCTCTGAGGTCTGGCCATCAGCACTGAACTAAGAAAATGTCCTCACGGTGCCAAGAACTTTGCAGGCCTCTTTACTGAAATAGTAGAGGCTAATGCTTAGAAGAGGCAACCTATAATTATTCTTTAATTCCTGTTTCAGTTCTCAAAATTAAAGAACCATAGAACATCCAAGTTTGCGGGGGATTGCAGAAGCCATCTAGCCCAGTTCTGAGCATTTTAAAGACGGCGCTGTCATAAGTGGAAGTTAAAATAACGAGTCTTTAGCCACACTGTCTAGTACACTTAGTCAACACCGTGGTAGGAGGAACTCAAGGAAAACAGCAGAAGGGGATGAGCAAGTGATGTTCCGGTGTGGCATTCATCGGGTCTCTCTGATGACACCAGGTCCCGTTCTGGGAGCTGAGACTCCGTCCTGGCTTCAGCGAGGGGTGAGCTGGGAGAGACCCGGTGTAAGGACAGAGTGATGAAGCGATTACAGGGCATGCTGCAGAGCCTTAGGGAGCTGTCAAGACCAGACCGTATCTTCTAGTCCTGTCCAACTCCAGTATTTTACACCAACCAGAGACCACAGGTTTGGGAAGAGGCAGTTTAGCTTGGAACTGGGAACCGCAGAATTGTCCTGTGGAGACAGCGGGTAGATATCTCTGACCCGTCCTTAAGCAGTGCAATTGCTGGCCTTCATGAATTTATGAAACATGAACAAACTTATTTTCGTGCTCCTTACAGTATCCACTTCAGAGGGCGACAGGGCCAGGCCTCCGGCACCTTCTCCAGGCCTCAGGCCTGCCGCATTCCCTCTCCAGCCTGCATTCTTCTCCTTCTGACATTTACATTTCTTTCCAGCTCAGAAAGCTTTTGTGTTATTTAGATATTTTCCACATAGCTTTTGCTTTCTCAGGACATCATTATATAAATCTATTAAGTGAATACATTTTAAAGGATAAAGAAAAAAACAGCAAAAAGTAATTAATTAAAATGAGATAAAGTTCAAAGAGTTAGGGTGATTTGGCCTGACGAATACAGGATTTAGAAGGTACACATAACTACAAAGAGAGTTTCTTGTTTTGTTTTTCGAGCGATGTAGCTAGCTCAGCAGTGCTGTGCCTGCCTAGAAAGTGCAAGGTCCTGAGTTCAATCCCCGGCACAAATAAATAAATAAATAAAAGCCGAACACCAAAGAACGCAAGGGCCGTTTTCTCAGAGATAGAGTGGAATCGGAAGGACTATGTGGTGGGCTCCTGTCACCATGTTTTTATTTACTATTTTCATTTTAAATTTATAATTCAGTGATCCATGAAAACATTATCATAAGAAAATACAAAGGTCACTAAAGACATACAGTGAATGTTTAAATGAAATATTATTACACAAAAAGACACACTGCTACTGATCCTTCTCAAATATCCCCTTCCTTCAAATACTCTTATCCCATGGTTCGTGCCACACTCTGCAGCAGTTCTGGAAGTCCTCTTTTGTGGATGTCTTCATGAGGTGGAATAAAATGTACCCTGAATACTGCTGCCAAGAGCCATCGACGCAAAGGCCAGCTCATACATCACGGTGGCCTCATCCACTCTGTTCACGAGATTTGGTACTGTGAGACTTCTGGATCTTCCCCACGTAAAATCATCAAAACAGGTAAATAAATGTTCTGAACCCATTCAAGACATCAAGGCAGCCACGACAGTGCAACAAAATACATTCATGAAACAGTACTTCACAAACTGCTTTAAGGAGTGGCAGGAACAATGGGCTAAGCGTGTCCGCAGTGGGGGAGGGTTTTGAAGGGGATTAGCGGCAACATGTCACTTATTGTAATAACTTTTAAACTGGGAGGAAAAGGGAAAGGACTTTAACTGCTTGGACTGCTCAATGAAGTCAGTGACCAGGAAAGTGTGGGGTCACCTGTAATAGAGGTTTTCAAGTCAGCTTAGCACCCTGCCTGAGTGCTACGTATGGTGCTGCTTGAAAGGGAGAGACAAGAATGAACAACTGGGCTTTAGAAAATTTATTCCCACTCTAATAAAACAGAGAGGCTTCTTAACATTTCCTCCTCTCTCTATGCATTAGGGACAGATTCCCCCGGGGCTCTAGTTTTTTCTTTTTCAATGATAACCAAAAACAGATTGATTTTCATGACCAAATCACTTAACATATGAAACTTGTATCAGCTGGCAAACCTAGGATCACTGGTTCCAGTTTTGTGCCCTCCCATGTTGGCTGCTGGACCAGTTCCAAGAGCTATATTAGGGAAATACTTTCCTTTCAGCCACAGTTTAAAATGGAACCATGGATGTAAATAGATATCTTGGTTCTTACATATTTATGTGCTAATTTTGTTCTAGTTATTTCTGAGGTTCAACAAGAATAGGGTTGGTACTTACAAAACTTTGATTCCTGATATGATCACGGTTTTATTTTCATTAATGCAAAAGTAATATAAAGAGTTAATAAGTGATCATTTTAACTATTTTCATGCTCAACTTACACTCCCTATTTTTTTTTCTCATTCCAGAGATTCTTAAGCAATAGTCTGTAAGCAGCAGAGAAAGCAAGAGAGGTCCAATAATTATGAAGTAGATTTAGCCACCTCTTCTTGTCATGTAGGAATGTCTGTCCAAGTTTCAGAAGTACTTCATCAGAAGCCTGGAAATGACTCAAGTACACCAATAATCTGCCAAATTAGCAGTGTAAACAGGCTAAACAGGACAATAAATTCACAGAATTACTCATGATTGGTTAAGTCAGATAGCAACTGAGTAGCTCTTTATTGCTTCAAAAGGCACTAGACTGAAATCATTTCCTAAATTAAGAAATGACAAACATTTGTTTGATGTTACCTTCAAAGAACCATGGAAAGAGCAGCTGAAAAAATATGAGATAAAGAGATAAAATGGTTGATATGATTTCCTTGAAAGCCATTTCTCCATTTGGAGAGGAATGAGAGCACCTGAGTCCTTAGGGTACTCACACAGTGGTGGGGTGGTAGTGGGGCTCAGCTTGCATACACATGGTCCTGGGTTCCACCCAAGAAGAGGAAGGGTGGGAGGGACGGGATGACAGAGAGAGAAAGAGGGGTCCCTATGGCCTGTTTATCCTTTAGATAACTCAGAGCGAGGGAAGATGCTCCAAGGTAACTATAAGGACCTTATAATAAGTAACAAGTACAAGGTGCAAAAGACATGAATAATTATTTGGTCTTTTATCGTTACCTGCTTAATTGCTAGTACCAGAGCTTCTGCACGTTGTGTGTGTAGGGGGGGTGTTCAAATCACTGCCTCAAGCTTCCTTTCAGCACAGTTTACTTCCTTTAGTATTTTTTGTAGGGCAGGAGTATTAGCAATGGATTATCTCGGTTTTTATTCAGTTGGGAATGTTTCCATCTTGCCTTTACTTTTCGAAGATAGCTTTGCTGGATTTGGGATCTTTCAGCAGCTTCACTACATTATCTTGCTGCCTCCTGGCCACAGGTTTCTGAAGACAGCAGTAAACTTTACTGGAGTTCCACTGTACATGACAGTCACTTCTCTCTTGCTGCTTGCAAGCTTTTCTCTTCTCTTTCAGTCTTCTGACAATGTGGGTATTTATGTGTTTATCTTAATTGGAGTTTATCACACTTCTTGGATATATGGCATTTTTCATCAAATTTGAAAAGTTAAAATATTCTCTAAATACGTTATCATTTACAATATTAATTATTTGCAAATTTAAAGTTTCTTTTCTGCTGCTTTCTTCTTCCCTTCTTCCTCTGGTGCAATCAATGGTGACACACATACCTCTGTGGCTCTGTTCCTTTTCGTCATTCTTCCCTTTTGTTGATTTGCAGGCTACATAATCTCCACTGCTCTACCATCAAGTTTACTGAGTCTTCTGCTAACTCAAATTCACTGCTGAGCCTCTCTAATGAGCTTTTCACTTTGGTTACTGTATTTTTCAAATCCTAAATTTTCTTTTTCCTTCAAATTTTAAGATGCACAAAAAATAAAATTCGCCATCTTAACAATATTTAAATGAACAGTTGCATTAAATGCATTCACACTGTTGCACGATCATTACCACTATCCACCTACATCTCTTTGAGTAGAATAATACAGCATTGTCCTTTTTTTGATGAGTTTATTTTGCTTAGCGTGATGTCTACAGGATTCGCTGATGTCGTACTATGTGTGAAACTTTCCTTCCTTTTAAAAACTGAATATTTAATTACATATATGTGTGTGTATAGATGTGTGAGTGACTGTACATATGCACCACAGTCTGTTCATCCACTCAGCCATCAATGGACACTTGGGTCGCTTCACTTCCTGGTTACTGAGAACAATATTGCTATGAACATGGTATACGATTTATTGTTTTGAATATATACACAGAAGTAGAATTGCTAGATCACCTGGTAGCTCCGCTTTTAATTGTTTGAGAAATTGCCACACTGTTTCCCACAGTAGCCTCACCCTTCAACATTTCCACCAACAATATAGAGACCTCCAACATCTCCACATCCTTGGCAACATCTGCGATTTTCTATCATTTCCGTATCTATAGTAATTATTCTAATGGGAGGAAGGAGGCGATACCTTGTCACTTTGATTTCCATTTCCACAGTGATATATGATGTTGAACATCCTGCCACACGCTTGTTGGCCATTAGCGTATCATATCCGGAGATGTATCTATTCAAGTCCTTCACACCTTTTAAAAGCAGGGATTTTTATTTTATTATCATTGAACTATAGGAGCTCTTTATATATTCCAGATGCCAACCTCTCATCAGATACATGATTTGCAGATATGCTCTCCCATTTTTTGTACGCTACTGTGTCCTCTGGTATACACAAGTTTTTTAAAAAATAAATTTTACTTTATCCCATTTTCCCCTACACCCCTCCTTTCCCTATGTATAAAAGCTTTGTTTCCATTTTTCCTTCCTTTTCTAGACCCTTCCTTCCCTTCTCCCTCCCTCCTCCCTTGTTCCCCTTCCCATTTGAACATTTTCTTCCCATTTCCCAGCATCTATTATACATTTTAGTCTTTATTTCCACTTTTGGTTTCTCACACCAGAGAAACAATGAGATTTCTAAACATGTGCATTTGATTTATTTCACTTAAGAGTGTGGTCTCAAGGTCTATTCATTTAGCTATAAATGCCTGAAGCTCACCCTTCATTATGGCAGAATAGTACTCCACTGTATAAAAAACCAAAATCTTCTTTATCCACTCGTTGACTGGCATTTGGGCCGTGTCCAAGATTTAGCTATCACAAACTGTGCCGCTATAAACATGGGTGTGCATGTATTGTTGTGGTGTGATGCTTTTAAGTCTTTAGGGAAGATATCAAGAAGGGGAATAGCTGGGTCAAATGGAACCGCTGGTTTTAGTTTTCTGAGGAATCTTCACACTGATTTCCACAGTGGTGGCACCAGTCTGCACTCCCACCAATAGTGGAGAAGGCTTCCTTTCTCCCCACAGCCCCACCAGTATTCGTTATTGGTTGCTTCATAGCAGCCATCCTTTCTGGGGTGAGGTGGAATCTTAGCGCTGTTTTAATTTGCATTTCATGAATGACCAGTGACGTGGAACATTTTCCCTATATTTATTTGCTGTTTCTAATTCTTCATATGAGGAGTGTCTTTTCAATTCAGATGCCCATTTATGGACTGGGTCTTTAAATTTGGGGGTCTGATTTTTTAAAGCAGAACCTTTAAATTCTGGCATAATTCAATATTTTGTTGCGGATGCTTTTGGTGTCATATCTCCATTTGGTTCTTATTAAAATAATTTATATTTCTTTATGAATATCCTGTGTTGGACAAGTCACTGCCACCCTACCTTCTTTTAATCCCTTGAGCATAGCTTCCTTCCTCTTTTTTTTTTGGTACCAGGGATAGAAATCAGGTCCTTGAGCTTACAAGGCAGGCAGAGGAACCACGGAGCCAAATCCCCGGCCCCAGTTTCCTTACTCTTTAAACACATAGCTAATTAAAAATCATCTGCAAAGTCCAACAGCTGGGTCCCTCAAAGTGTCTCTCTTGCCTCCCCCAGACCTTGAGTAATCAGTTCCTTTGTGCCTTTCATATAGATTTGGATACTGATGTTGAAAACTGGCTACTTTAGATAATGTACTGACTACAGTAGCTCTGGTTATCGATACCCCTGCTACCCAGAACACCGATGCTGTTACTCGTTTGCTTTGTGTATTTGGCTGAACTGATTTTGTGATGTTCCTTTCCCCTGCAGTGTGCAGATGCTAATGCTCCTGTTCAGATTTCTCACCCAGTTTCATGTTTCATAGCCTGGCTTGCTGGGGATGAACCTTGGGCAGCACGAGCTGCATCTTAGCAAAAGTTTTATTCTCAGTGGTGCTGTTTCATTTTTGCCAGGGCTGTGTGGCTTGGAGGTCACCTTCACAGCCCAGGGGCAATGGGGCTCGGGGTGACTGCACACGGGTAGGGCTGGGCATTTTGGGGGGAGTTAGAATTATTCTGTATCTTGTCTGTGATGGTCATAAAAATCTGTGTATGTGCAATTCACACATACATGTGAAAATGTGTAATTAAAAGTGACAACTATTTGCCTGTGGAAATCCTTCTACACCTATACTGTGCTTCCACAGCTGGCGCCAGCCTGCTCACTGGCATTCTTAAAAGTTAACTACGTAGTAATTAGGGGGAAGGCAGAAAATCAAATCTTTCTTGTTAAGAAAATAAAATATTTCTCTTCCTTCTCAGAGCACAATAAAAAAAGCTTTAAAAAGTCATTCTAATACAGTACTTAAGAGTGATATGATGACAATGTCAAGCTTTCATACCTGACCAAGCAAAGTTTCTTCTAGATGAGGCTTTGAGTCTCTCTCTTCAAGGAAAAATTCTGGGTTTATTTCATTGTTACTGACAATTCTGACAGAGCCAGAAGACACTAGAACTTAAGGGACAGGGAAACCCAGGCAAATGGCACAATCAGGCCTAACAGAAAGAGGCATGAGGCTGGCAGCTCTCCTCCAAGTCCCCAGGGGTGCTCTACCGTCCAGCAGGAGAGGCAGAAGTGACAAGACGTCCCAGTCATTTTCTCTTCCTGCTCCACCTGCCACTTTAATTTCAAGCCACACTGAATGCAATCACTTTTAAAAAGCTTTTATGATGCATGAGCTCATTTGCTTTTAGTCTTCAGAGATATAGCAAAAACAAAAACGAGTGAACAAACAACAGCAAAAACAAAAACAAGAAGGAAGAAAATGAGCTCACTCTAGATCTTCAAACTAAGAGTAGTTTCTTCCTTTTAGGAAAGCCAACCTCTTTCCCTTAACAACCAGACAGCTTTTGACTTCTCTAACTTCGTGTACAGTCTCCAAAAATATTTTTATCTGCTTTGTCCCTTTTAAAGAAGTAAGATGCTTTCTCTCTTCCTTTGAGTTATTCAACTTACAAGTAACTCTATTAATCACATTTCAGTGGCCTTCTCACTGCTCGGTGTGGAGTCTCACGGACCCGGTCTCAGGCAGCTGCACAGGCCCTGGACCCCACGCCACTGAGTGCGGCGAGCCAGGCACCTCGGGTGCCCTAGCAATCGCCCCAGTGTGATGCTCACCGGGAACAATCCCACCCACCGAGTTCCTCGGGAGTGAGTGCCCCTTCCCGGGCAACAGTAGGAGGGAACTACCTAGTCACTCCCACTGTGCCACTGGGGGAGAGGCAAGATGACGAGGAGGCAAGGTGCGAAGGAAGAGTCGCTCCTTGTAAGGATGACGAAGGGACTGAGGAAGATCAAAACTCTCCCTTTCCGGTGTCAGGAGACACTCACCTACGATAACAACGATCCAGAACCAGAGGCTAGGCCAAAATGCGGTTAGCTTCTCAGAGAGCTTTGGGTTTAAACTGTAAAGTGTCAGAGATGCTGAAAGTGGATTCAGTTCAGTCTCACTCTACATTGCAGCTAACTTGGACCTGGTGACAGATTCCACTTCCCCCCGACACAGGGAGGAACGCATTTCAGAGACCCTTGGAACAACTATCCAAAGTCTCTGCTCTCATGTTCATCACACAAAACCAGTTGGAATCAGGGATACTGTTTTTGCTCCAGATTTTACTAACCACCAGTACCAAAACAGTTACCCCAAATGACCTCCTGATTAAGGTCACAAGGACATCCTAGCAGCATTCGGCAGTAATAATAGAGAGAGCCAGGACTCTTCTTAAAGTGCTACCATTTTTAGTACACAATGGTGAGACACACAGTGATACCACAAAGATTAACTCCTCTGAAAATACCACCTGGTGACTTGGTCTTTCCATCGTCCCCGTCACTGTCACCCGAGATAGTCCCCGAGGACTATGAATATGGCTCTGCCATTCGCTACTGTGAAGTTAAGATCCTAAACTATGGTGCCTTACCAAATTTAAATGTACGCCCTAACACACCAGACATACTACTATAGAAATATGCTGGATCCCAGCTATCTTGCTTGCTCTCTAAATTAAACCGAACCTGACATTCTGGCCAACGTGAGATCAGACTGAAGTTCACTGAGCATCGAGGCAGGAGAAAGAGCACTCTCATTGCCTGCCCCAAGGGCTGCAGGTCGAGACAAATGACCTTTGTCAGTCACTGCCAGGCAGCAGTGAGTGAACTTGTTCCCAAGAGGTCTCTGCCTTAAAAAGAGGTCAAAATGTTCCTTTATAAAAGTAGTATGTGTACATATAAAATGGTATGTATGGTAGCAAAGTAGAAAGGCAAAATGGTGTGAGGCTGCAAAATAATTATTATTAATTTTTTAGTATGCTGTACTAGTTTTATCAGTTGGGCTTGGCATTACTGTGTAAGCCTCTGAGAGGTCCAAAATAAAATAAAAACAGTTAATATAAACACAAGTTAAAAATAGTTCTACGTAAAAAGAATTTTTTTTCATTTTTATATCAGTAATATGTTCTCACTGAAGAAACAATTTAACATACAGGTACCTAAAAAGAAGGGAGAAAATCATAAATCATTTCCTACTGGTAACTAATGCTTATATTTGGGGCATAACATTCTCTTTTAAATGTACATAAACATATTGTACCCCCTTTAAAAATAGGGTCATAAATACAAAATATCTTGTAACCTGCTAGTTTACTCTATAAACCTCTAATGGCATCATTTTAAAGAGCTACATAATGTTGTGTGATAGAGAAACACTGCAAATTATTCAACCAGTACATTATTAGTTGTTTCTACGGATATTTATTGAATTACTGGATCAGTGACTCCTGTGTAGTCGAATAATAAGTAAAAGGCTTTCTGTCTTCTAACATTTCAAGTTTAATTTTTTTGACTGAACAATAACAGACAAAATTTATCCCAAACCACTAAGCGACTTTTATTTTTAATGGCACATATGTGAACTAACTCTAAACCGACCCGAGAGACAACTTCATCTTTCCAAGGAAGAAATACCAAAAAAGAATGACTAAAATGAGCGACACTTCTCTGTACAGAAATGAACACAGCCTTTCTAGGATGTCTGCAGGGGACTGAACTCATGGCCATGCACACGCTCAGTGTGTGCTCTGCCAAGGACCTACCCGCTCTCTGTCAGTGTCCTTCTCACTACTGTCACTAAGAGCATAATGGACAAGACACTTGGAGTTTTTCCTGTTGGATATGCAGTTGCTGAGAGTTCACAGGTTTTGAGGAAAAACTGTATTTGGAGACTCATT